GGGGTGACAAAAAAAGAAAAAAAGCAAAGCAAATGTGCATGAATCAAAAGATGCTGACGAATGGTACACCCGCGGACTGTTGATAACAGACCTAAATTCCAATCCTGGTGATGGAATCGTATCAACACAGCCGCTGTGAATTACCTGCGGAAAGTCGGATGAAGATGATGCCTGAAGGGGGTCGTCCTTGTTTAAGGAAAAAAATGTTGATGGACCAATGGACTTGCATGAATGTAAGTTTCAAACAAAAGTTGATTGGTGGGAGGCAAAGCTGCAAGCGAAATTTAATAATGAGAACGGACCTGTATAGCGAGCATGCCAAACTCTCGTGCAAAAACATAAGGCAATTTCAACTGATCTTCCAAGAGTGATGTGGTGATGGCTGGCACAATCCATTCTTGATCCTGCAAATAAAACACACAGTGAGACAGAGATCATGACAGTTCACCAAACACACACACACACACACACAAGGGGGGAGAAGAGCTCAAACTTCAAAATTCAAACCAAACAAAGATCCCGGGGAGGGTTTTCAACTTCTCACCCCTAAGGCTAGTACTACTACATTAGGACTTCGCGAACTGAACCCGTCTGCAGTTGTGGTCAGGCGTGTCACAAAAAGTCCTAATGTACGTCCTACATCGTCCTTTTTCACACACACAACACGATGATGAAAACAAGCAGCAACTGTGCAACCTCTGTTCAAATAACGAGAGAAAACAGGACTGTCAAGGCAAATAACCCACGTAAAGTAACCTCGGAGGCACTGCACATAACCCCTTACACAGGAGGTGGCCGGGAGAGTACCAATTAGCTGAGTCAGCTGGCTGCCAGCTTAGCGCCATGGAACGAGTTACCAGTCGGCATTGTCGTTGTTTGTTGTTTGTTGTTTGTTGTTTGTTGTTGTTGTCGTCATTATTGTGGTCATGGTTGTGGTTGTTGTTGTAGTTGTTATTGTTGTCACTGTTGTCATTGTTTTCGTTGTTGTCATTGTTGTCATTGTTGTCGTTGTTGTTGTTGTTGTTGTTGTTGTTGTTGTTGTTGTTGTTGTCGCCGTTGTTGTGGTCGTGGTTGTGCAGTTGTTGTTGTTGTTGTTGGTTGTTGTGGTCGTGGTTGTGCAGTGGTTGTTGTTGTTGTTGTTGTTGTTGTTGTTGTTGTTGTTGTTGTTGTTGTTGTTGTCGTCATTGTTGTGGTCGTGGTTGTGGTTGTGGTTGTTGTTGTGGTTGTTGTTGTTGTTGTTTTTGTTGTTGTTGTTGTTGTTGTCGTCGTCATTGTTGTGGTCGTGGTTGTGGTTGTTGTTGTTGTTGTTGTTGTTGTTGTTGACGTTGTGGTCGTGGTCGTGGTGGTGCTGTTGTTGTCGTTGTGGTTGTGGTTGTGCTGTTGTTGTTGTTCTTGTCGCTGTGGTTGTTGTGGTTGTCTTGTTGTTGTCTTGTTGTTGTTGTTGTTGTTGTTGTTGTTGTTGTTGTTGTTGTTGTTGTGGTTGTTGTTGTTGTTGTTGTTGTTGTTGTTGTTGTTGTTGTCGTCGTCATTGTTGTGGTCGTGGTTGTGGTTGTTGTTGTGGTTGTGGTTGTTGTTGTTGTTGTTGTTGTTGTTGTTGGTGTTCTTGTTGTTGTTGTTGACGTTGTGGTCGTGGTGGTGCTGTTGTTGTCGTTGTGGTTGTGGTTGTGCTGTTGTTGTTGTTCTTGTCGCTGTGGTTGTTGTTGTTGTCTTGTTGTTGTTGTTGTTGTTGTTGTTGTTGTTGTTGTTGTTGTTGTTGTTGTTGTTGTTGTTGTTGTTGTTGTTGT